TAAATCTCCCCTTTTCCCCCGTACCTGGATAAACAGTAGCTGAAACTAAAATAGAGATCTTCTTGGTCTCCTCCTCTGAGTGCCCCTCGATCTTCAAAGAGTGTAGAAGGAAATGAAGAGAATGTAGAAGAAAGGAGTTAGAATTGAAAGAAGTCATAACTAAAAGGTGTGCCTTTTGGGAGTGCTAGAGCTCTCTATAGGCATCAAGCCTCGCTGGAATGACCCGTTTCAAATCCGGAATGGCCCGTTCTAGACTCTGATGACATGTGTAAAATTCACATCCAGAACGGCCTGTTCTCAAACCAGAACGACCTGTTCTAGGGTTTCACTTAACTCATAACGGCCATATCTGGAACAACCCGTTCTCAATTAGGGTTATAGGCATTTTTGGTGATTTGGAACGCCCCGTTCCCATCTAAAATTTGTAGACAATTTTTGTATTTTAGAATGACCCGTTCCAGTTTGAGAACGGCCCGTTTTGAACTACAAAATCACTCTCGTTTTAGTAGTTTGGAATGACCCGTTCCAATTTGGGAACGGCCCGTTCTGGGCTACTAAATCACCCTATATGGGCCTTTGGGTCCTCAAACAATCTGTGAAAATCGGGCTGTTACACATCTATTCTAGTGATGTCAAAGAGATTTAAACTTTTGAAAGGTGTTTTGCAATCGATGGTTATTAGTGAAGAATGGAACTCTTATAGAGAAGATGATGTGGGTAAGGCCCAAGCTGCAAAAGAATTTATTTTGAATGATGTGTGGTGGGTCAAAATTACATATATTCTTAATTTCACCGAGCCTGTTTATAGTATGCTTAGGGCTTGTGACACAGATAGTCCCACACTTCATTTGGTTTATGAGATGTGGGATAATATGATAGAAAAAGTAAAGACGTCTATATATAGATATGAAGGAAAAAAGTTAAATGATACATCAACATTTTCTGAAGTTGTTTATTCTATACTAATTGATAGGTGGACTAAGAGTTGCACCCATCTCCATTACATGGCTCACTTTTTGAATCCTAGGTAAAATTAGCCTATTAAATATATATATATATATATATTTATTTATTTATAAATAATTTGATAGTTACTAAATTTTTTTATTTATTAACTTTTTTATTTATTCATAGGTACTACAGTGATGAATGGCTTCAAGAGGCTCCAAATAGAATTTCTCCACATGAGGATGGAGAAATTTCTATGGAAAGAAATAAATGTTTAAAAAAGCTTTTCACAACAACTGAAGAAAGAAGAAAAGTTTCTCTAGAATATGCTGATTTTTCATCAAAAGCTCATAATTTTGCTTATTTTTACTCAATTGAAGATAAATGGACATTAGATGCTAAATCTTGGTGGGTAATGCATGGTTCTTCTGTCCCTCTTCTTCAAAAGCTTTCTTTAAAACTTCTTGTACAACCTAGTTCTTCATCTTTTTGCGAAAGGAATTGGAGTACTTATTCCTTCATTCACTCCCTGAAAAGAAATAAGTTGAATCCTAAAACAGCAGAAGACTTGGTTTATGTACATACTAATTTGCGACTCTTGTCTAGGAAAAGTGAAGAATATACGCAATGGAGTACTAGAGTGTGGGACATTGGTGGAGATGCATGGGGTAGCTTTGATGGTGTTTAAAATCTTGAAGTTACATCATTATCTCTTGATGAACCAGAAATGGAAGCTGTCTTGTTCACAGATGATGGTCAAGGAGGGGATGAAATTGATACTATTCCTATTTCTTGACAATAAAAAATGATTTATAATTTTTTAGTAATGTTTAAAAATTAAAAAGCAAGAAATGTATTATTAATCTTGATTTTTGAATGATATTTATTTGCAATTACTATTTTATATATATTAATTTTTTTTAATATGTATCCTAAACGTATCGTATCCTATATTTTCAAAACTTGACGTATCGTCGTATCGGATACGTATTGTATCTGATACACATATCGTATCCGTGCATCATAGGTTATAGGCCATTTTTGTAGTTTAGAATGGGTCGTTCCAGTTTGAAAATGACTCGTTCTGGGCTACTAAATCATCCTTATTGGGCTTTGAGCCTTCGTATAATCTGTGAAAATCAGGGTGTTACAACCATCAATTTTGAATGTCATGCATGTGGGTTATTCACTTATTTTCCATCAATTTTGGTTGAGTTAAACATAGAGAGTCAGAATAATGTATCTAGTAGAAATATATCTTTTGGTTAAAGTTATAGCTTACTAAAAATTATGTTTGTTTTGATTTTATTTTCCTTGTTATATGTGTGATGGTTATCAAAGAAAAAGAATTTTTTATATAGTTATGAATGTTGTTAATTTTTGTTCTTACTTTATCTTTATTTTTAAATGTGTACAAGAATCTGGAAAAGACTTTTAAGAGAGTAAAAAGAATCATAACAAGACACTTTTTATATATTGTTTAGTTATATTTTCTTTTATTTTAAAGAGTTTTGTTGAGAGATTTGTGAACCCTTTTACTATGAATTTATGTTTAGCAATTTTTATTTTATTTTATTATTTATTTATCATATATATATATATATATATACCTTTTATTTCTAAATTACATTTTAATCAAAATCCTTATTCATTTTTTCAGGGTAGAAGGGTGTGAGAGATGACTTGTATGGGCCACGGATGATTGTCAATAAAGGGAGAGAATATGCAAAATAATATTTTTAAATCCAAAATAAAAGGTGAAAAAATTGAATGATTCAAAAATCACTATTAAATTTGCTAATAGTCCTTGACTAACCACATTAATAATGATAAACCAATCACGCCTTATTTAAAATTCTTGCATATACTAACTTTTTTTTACATGATTTAAGTTTTTAACATACTTCATTATTTATGAATACATTCAAATTTATCACTGTAGATATATTTTAGTTAAATAATATATTATTTTATATTTTTAATAATAAAATAATAAATAAATATTTAATAAAACTTAATTCCAGTATAGTAAAATAATTAATGCTTAAATTCATTTTTGATTCTTATAGTTTCATTTATTCCAAATTTTACTCTTATAGATTTCAAAATTAAACAATATTAATTTATTTATTAACATGTCATCCAAAATTAAATTAAAAATATTAATATGCATGTGAATGTTACTGGCAGTTACCTAGTCACATAAAAATAATAATGGTTTTAAAAATTAAAAAAAATATTTTAAGAGATTATAAATTTTAATTCACAAGTATGTTAATATTTTTTATTTACCTTTTATGGTTTGTTATTGGATGGTTAATTTTGAAAACTAAAAGGATCAAGTTTGCTTTTAAAAAAAATTATAATTATAGAGACTAAAATCACACATTTATAAAATTATAGAAACTATTTGGAAATGGAATTCCTTGGGTTCTTACACTGTTCGCTCTGCTTATAAAGGTTATCTCTAGCATTGCCTCTCCATGGGTAATCTCAATGTTCCTGGTCCATGGAAAAACATTTGGAATCTACGCATTCCCCACAAAATTAAGCATTTCATATGGAGATTGATGCGAGACATCCTTCCCACGCGGCCAAACCTTCAAAAGCAGGCATTCGTTGTCCAAGTACATGTTTCCGATGTAATATTGATATCGAAAACACCTGGCACACTTTCTTTAGTTGTCCATCAGCCAAGTTGTGCTGGTAGGGAAGTAATCTTCACTCTTGTATCTTGAATTTGATCAACTCCTCTGATGGTGTCTTTAACCTCATATCTCATATTTTACAGTATTGGACCCCTCAAGCTGCTACAAAATTTTCCATGATTCTCTGGAGCATGTGGCACAGCCGGAATGCTTTGCATTGGAGTAACACTCCTTGGAACCCAAACGAGATCAATCTTCGTGCCTCCTCCATGCTTCATGATTGGGCCACTGCTAATAGAATCGACCTGGTCCAGCGCACTAAAACCCAAACCAGACAGTGGTGGTCTCCTCCTCCCCAAGGGTCATTTAAGTGCAACATTGTCACTCACTCTTTTCCAATGGAAGGACTTACTAGAATAGGCATCTGCATTAGAGACCATCAAGGTGCCTTTATTAGAGCTCGTTCAACCACTATCAAAGGTTGTTTGGAACCCCACGTTAGTAAAGCCTTTGCTCTTCTTCATGCTATCAACTGGACCCATAAACAGAACCTGGAGGACATTATTTTCGAAATCGATTGTAATCGCATCCCTTCCTATTTCTCCAATCATCACTCTGTTGACATAACTGAATTTGGTTGCCTTATTGACCAATGTAAGCCTATCATGGTTAACCCCCCAAACTCTCATGTGAGTTTCTCCCCTAGATTTGCCAATATTGTTACTCATAAGCTTGCTAAAGCAGCAATAGAAAGTGCAAATCTTTGTAATTTTTTTCACATCCCAAATTATATCATTTATGATATTCTTAATGATATGAGTTAAAATTTTGAATTTCAAAAAAAAAAAAAAAACTATAGAACTAAAAGTGGATTTAAGACAATAATTAACTACAAAACATTTTACAGTTTTATTTATCCTAACAAATGAAAAATTAACTTTAAATTAGAAATATAAAAACATCAAATGAGAAAATTAAAATAAATTTAAAATTGTGACAATAAAATTAAAAGTTAAAAATATTATTTTAGCTTTTTTAAAATTTAGTATTATATAATAAATTAATATGTATAAGAAAGTAACCAATACTTATTGACACAGAAACTTATTAAAAACTAGAAAAATATATCATTCTTGCCTGTCGTCATTTTTTATATATTAAAAATTGTTACAATATTTAAATATCTATTATTATTTACTCTGTCTCTATATATTTTATTTAAGAATTTTATGATAATTATTCTTTTAAACCAATACATGTTAAAAATAATATTTTTATAATCTGGAGAGTGGAAATTGAAGATTAAATAAAAATAAAAATAAAAATAAATATGTAATTTTAGGAGGGAAAAATAAAAATAAATGAACCTAATTTTATTTGTTTGTAAACTGAATTGAACGACGATGTATGAGACTGCATAAATGGCTCACCTCACCTGACCCAACGTTTAAGCTTTTGGTAGAACCATGGGCAATCCTATTTCTTGGTTATGTTTTCTCAAACTAAATCAGCTTATTTTCTTTTATTAACACCTGTTCTGCTAGTCCCGTGTGCAATCATGGTTTCCATTTCCACCCATTAAAATTGCCCAAGAATGACAAGAGTGTTGGGTAAGCCTTTCTCATTCTCAATTTCACTTTCCGCTTTCACATTTTCGATTTCATGTTCCACTTTTGCATTCTCACTACACGTTCTGTTCTTTTCTTCTGAAGGCAATCGAAATTTTCTCCACCGTTCAGTGAGTTCTCAAACCCCAAATAAAGGTTGCGTATGCATGATCTATGTCCTATAAGAGAAAGAAAAAGAATTTTTTATATAGTTTTGAATGTTGCTAATTTTGCTGTTACTTTATCTTTATTTCTTAAATGTGTACAAGAATCTGAAGGAGACTCTCAAGAGAGTAAAAAGAATTATATCAAGACACTTCTTTCAATCAACCGACTATGGATTTCAATATATAATCTGATTGCTACAGGTTCAAATCGTAATTGTTATTATCATGTTCCTTGGGCTTGCTTCTCTATGTTTTTGGTCTTGTTATCTAGACAATGTTGTGAATTGGCCATGATGAGCAAACTCTCTTAGCTTCTTTAGGCCAAGCTGAGTAAATTAGTTTAAATGACCAAGTCTTGTGAGGCTAGAGTGAATATTGATATGTGAATCTGGTCTGTTGCTGAAATTGGTATCAGTAATTTCTGGTGAAGATGAAATAACACATACTATAAATGCAATCCATCTTTCCTTTCGATGGCTGGGAATCAGATAGGTATAACTATGTATCAAATTCAAAAAGAATCATGAAAGAAAAGTTTAAAGAAGAAAATTGCCACATTTCATTCACTCGAATTTGTTGATTCTTAATCAGCTATGACCAGAAACATAAAAACATAGACCAAAATCGTAACTTTCCTGTTTGCTATTTTTCATTTTCATTGTAGCTGCAACTCTTAGTGGTGGGGGTTCTATGTCTCTAGCATTGTAATAAGTATTGCACAATTCATGATTCGTATCGTAGAATATGATATGATTCCGAGGTTCAGCTACTCACCGCTATCCAGATTTCAAACATTGTTTTGTATTATGTGATCTCCTGTATAATTTTGACTAAACATGGTGAACGAGAACTAAATGAAGTTTATTCAACGGAGCCACTAGGATATAGAAGTATTGAAATTCCAGGAGGCTTTACTCAATTATACTGGATAGGTGTTGAGGCTTTGAGATGTACATTATTTTTTGACTTTGGCTAAATCCTTGATCTCACATACTTGAATCTTGAGCATCTTCACCTTAAATACATGATAAACAAACTAAGGTAGGCTTGTACAATTGGTTATGCTCTTGGGAAACATCGGGCTATTATATTAGAGGATTTTTTCTCATCCTATTATAGACATACATGACCTTTTATTTGTCTAATATAAATTGATATATTATTTACCTTCTATCTAGACTTTCTGTATAATGGCTACTCAAATATCTACTATACTGTTGTTGTTTTTAGTGTTGGCCACTCCATGTGTGACCTGGGATCAATAAATTTCACTCTATGCTCTTCATAATGCTTTTGTTTGTCTTGCCTTCTTTTTATATTATTCCTTTACTTAAAGCCAAGGATCTACAACTGCTATCTTTTTAATCTTCAAGGGATGATCATTTTGATCCCTATTATTTTATTTCTTTATAAGAATATAGCTAATTTCTTTCTTGTCTCTGTTTCAGTTGTGGTTTCCTATGTACTCTATTCTTCAGCTCTTGTGATATATCAATTATCCAATGGCATGTTAAATATTAAATTTAGTTTGTTTGCATTCCCAGCTTTTTATTTTGCGACCTGGTTTTGTGGAGTTAATTTTATTTTTGCTTTTGTATTTTGCTGCTTTGAAGACTTCATTTACATGTCTAGTGTTGGTGAATTCAGAAAACGTCTTCAGCTTCTCTTTGCTTTCCTTTGTCAAAACCATATCTATGCATGCTCTAAAATTATTTCCTCGCATAATTTGATTTTATTGCAGTGAAGTTTTCTTGAAAACAAAAGAAGGAAAAAGTCATGAAAGCCCATGGAAATTTTTACTTCAATGCCTCCTAATTCCCCCAAAAACAAAGTTATTTTTTTGTTCTCTTGACACATCATATTTTGATGTTAATATTTTGAAGTTTCTGATGAGGATCGGTTACATACCTTTAGTGATTCGTTGATATTGGGTATCAATCTAATCAAAAGTAATAATCAATACATTTTCTTTGAAGAAAGGAATTTCAACCGGTCATTTCTTGTAATTTAATGTCTCAAATGTAATTTAATGGATTTCTTGCAACTACTATGGAAGTAATGATCTTCATAATGATCATAATGCTCTTGACTTTCCTATCAGGCATCCCTTTAGCAAAATCAAGATAGTAATAAATGACAGATTAAACTTATATTATCTCCTTAAGCATCTTTATTCATTTTTGTTTTTTGTTGTTGGTCATGGTACTCTACCAAAAGCCACATTGAAATTTCCACCCTTTATGAGTGCATACATAATCACACAGCACTAAATCTTATTTCCATCTCAATATTCTTTTGTTCTATTTGTTTATTTTTTGAGAGATATTCTTTTGTTGTATTTGTTTATATTTTTGAAAGGGAGAGGGTTCATCTCCAACAAAACAAAACAAATTTAGTTATACTATCTAGATAGTAAATAGTAGTGAAGGATTGCACATGTTAAACAGAATTTTAGAAGACACGAACTCTTGTTTTCAAGGGTTTATTGCTTCCTTCATTATCAGTTCTGTGTATCTTGTTGTGGTATTATTCTTTATAGTAGTGAAATAGGTTACTTAAGTTGCATGCTTTCATGTAAAATGCCATTATCAATTTTATTTATATGTTATTAAAATTATTTATATAATAATGATCCTATGTTATTGTATGTATATTGTTTAATGCTAGGTGATAGATCGATGCAGTTGATCTAAAGAGCAAGCACAAGTGAAAGCTTAAGATAGCGAATTTGTTCAACCAAGGTGTTTTTATCCCCTAATATAATGTCCCTTTTTTTTAAATTGCATTTCCTATGCTCATTTTAATCTTTAGCTAGTGTCATGGATAGGATTATGTTGTATTATAAAATAGTTAATACTTTTTTATAATACAACATAAATCCTTGATATTGTGCTCATGCAGTGTTAGAGATCTGTTGAGGTCTTTGAAGATAATTGTGAATGTGAAGCTAAAAGTCACTGCACCATTGCAAACACGGATGATATATACAAGGTAGTTTCATTTTAAGCTTTTGATTGCAATAAATTTTCTATTTTTATTTCCTCTATAGCTTTTAGAATTTTAATCTTTTCATATTATTATTAACTAAATAATAATTACTAAAATTATTTTTATTCAAATATTTTTTTAAATTTAAATGTTAATGGATATAGCAAATCAGATTACATCACTAAATAAAAACATCTATCTTCAAACAACATAAAGGGAAGTTATGTTTCTAATTATAAAGTGAGAGATAAATTCTCTGCCAAAAAGAGAGAGACAAAGAATAAGTTTATGATTTTTTTATATATTATTGTGCTATTCCCTTTTTTTGTTTGCAATAAAGTATAACATGTAGATAGTGTACATGTAACGATATTGGATGAGCTAGTTAATTGTTTGCTTAAACTTGTTCAATAAGATATAGATTTAAATTTTAAATTTTGAATTAAATTGACATTTTAACCCAATATGATCATTGTAACTATAATAAATTATTTTTTAAATTGAAACTTATAGAAAAGATCATGCCTTACTTTCCGTTTGAAAATAATTAAAAGTTGACAACATATGTGAAGTTCATTATATTCTTTTAGCATGTATAAGAAATTGACCCAAAATAAATTATTTTTCTTTACATATATTAATGCTCCATTTATTTAATGTAAAATTTTTTTTTAATATAATAAATATTTTTTTTTCTGCACCTAGTTGAAGATGGGCTCGGATTCTACAGGTTTAGAGTCTTCAAAATTTATTTGCTGACATATTTTTATGTTTTATTCTAGGTCTATTCACAAGGAAGGATGAATGTTCACTTTGAATGAAGTTGCATTCGGGAATTTAATTTTATAATTACTACACATGAATAACTAAGTTATTTTGATTGACTACAACTATTTATTAGGTTTTTAAACTACTGAAATTAAACTTTGCTATTTTATGAAGCCTACTCATTCTCTAACATGTTGTAGGAGAGATTTACAGCCCCTGGCCATTTACTGTCGTTTTCTCAAGTGCAATTTGTTTATCCCTTATTCTGAAAACAATAAATTAAAACATCAATATTAGATTTAAGTAAATAATGTTAACCAATCACATATGGTTTATGAAAATTAACTCCTTATGTATAAATAATCTTAAACATGATCTTTCAGATTGTTGCCATCAATAAAAAATTTATCATTCATTTTTTATTTTTATTTTTGTTGCAGTGAAGAAGTATGATACTTGTGAAATTGTCGCGGTGAAGATGGCAAGACTTCGTGTATTGCGATTTGTTAAGGATTTTCCTTATTTCCTTTGGTTCAGTGCTATCTTACAAACAATCTTTGATTGTGTCTGATTCACGATGCATAAGCGAATTTATTTTTACAAGTATTATGCACGAATAATTGTTATTTTGATTGACTTCAACTACTTATTAGATTTTTAAACAACAGAAATTAAATTGTACTATTTTATGATTTTTACTCATTCTCTCACATGTTGTGGGAGAGAAGTTTGCATTTTGCAATTCTTGCAATTTTTTTTTGTTTTTTGTTATATGTAGGTGGAGGGTCTTAGGAGATCGGTGAATTTTAAGATTTTGGGATAGTTTCACTTTTGCACATGAAGATAATTTTAAGATAGTTTTTGCCTTACCTTTTGCACTTGAATTTGATTTCAGCTTTGGAATTTCAATCATGGACACATTTTTGAGGCATATAAAGACAATCTCAAGACAACTGTGTGGGAATATTAAAATCATTACACCATTTCAGATACGGATGATATCTACAAGGCAATCTTTCCTTTAATTTTAAGCTTTTTGATTGCAATAAAACTTCTATTTTTCTTTCCTTTATAACTTTAAACTTTTATTCTTTTCATATTATTATTAAATAATAATTATTAAAAATATCTTTATTTAAATAATTTTTAATTTAAATATTAGAGGATATATCAAATCAAACTACATCAGTAAATAAAAATATCTATCTTCAAATCACATAATGGAAAATTACATGTTTCTAATTTTTTTTATCTGTAAGATCTATGAAAAGATTATTTTGGTAATTCTTAGAAATGTATTCCTAGGTGTAATTATAGTGAGAAATAATCCTTTGCCAAAAAGTTTAACCCGGTGTGAGACAAAGAATTAGTTTATGTTTTTTTTAATTTTATTGTGCTATTATGTTTTTCTTCTTATTTGTAATAGAGTATAACATGTAGATATTTTGGTTTAGCTAATTAGTGGGTAGTTTAAACTTGTTTCATTACATATAAATTTAAATTTTAAATTTTGAACTTGAATTAAATTGATATGTTTAACCCAATATAATCATTCACTGGAATAAATTATTTTTTAAAATGAAAAATTTATAGAAAAGATCATGCCTTTTTTGTTTCTGTTTTCCAAATTATTACAAGACGACAGTATAGAGTTTATTATATTCTAATTTTTTCTCTCTATATATATTAATGATCCATTTATTATATTTAATTTTTTATTAATAAAATAAATATTTTTCTTTATGTTTGTCTTAATTGATTATTTTAGAAATATGCAATTTTCAATCTTTTAAGAAATAAATAATAATTTTATAATCATTTTTTTAAAAGCTTAAATAAATTGTTCTCGTATCAACTTATAGCATAAAGAATAATTAAATAAGAGTGCTTCTAAATTACTAGGGTCTATTTAATGGTGAGAGATTACAATTATATATGTATGATATGGAGTTTGAACTTTAAAATTATTATTGTAATTTTTATTGGTAAAAAAATTAGAAAGCTTTTATGAAAAGTCAGTCTGTTAACATCTTTATTGGTGTGGTGATACCCGTCCTATGTTTTTTGCTCATATTTTTTCAGTTTGCTTAATTAGTGTTCATGTCTATTAACATTTTTATTGGTGTGATGATACCCTTCTATTTATCCAGGTTCACATTTGAATTCTGGAATCCAGTAAAGAGAATACATCTGCTTTGCTTTTGGGTCTTGAATATCTTATCAACATCTCATATGTAGATGATACCGAGGATTTTAAAGTACGATAATGTTGACATTCATGTCTTATGGTTGCCTATTTCTTATGTTATGATTATGATTTATGATTGCTGAAACTTGTGTTTTCAAAGTGTGATGAATGATGGTATACATAACTAATACATATAAAAATATAACTAAAATCCAGTTAAAAATTTATTTTATAGGTAATTTAATTTTGTTTTAATAAAAGGCACACTAGAGAAGATATAGGCTCGAAGAACCCAACTCCTTTGTTTTTGGAAAATTTTAAAAAAACAAAATTGAGAACACGACAGGTATCTTTGTTTATCTTTTGGTTGCGATTTTTTTTAAACAATTATTACTCACATCATGTTTATGTGGCAGGAATACATATTTTTTGTCATGGTCATTTGGAATGTATTATATCTCTGTGAAATCAAAACGGGAAAATATAACAAAGTTGTTATTGCACGTAATATCATGTAAGGGATGTTTTTGTATTGATTTGCTCGATGTTAAATGATGTTATACTTCTGTTTAATAATATGCCATTGCTTCTGTTGGCAGGTATGTTGTGGGACAGTATTCTCAGTTTTTAAGAGCTCATTGGACGTTTCTAAAAGCTGTTGTGAATAAGTTTCTTGAGCTTTTGCATGAGACTCGACCTGGAGTTCAGGTTATGTTTTCTTCCTATGTTTTCTGTCCTACTTTTTCTTATATTAACAACTTAGTTTATGTCCCTGTGCGTGTGCCTGTGTTTGTGTGCTCTGCGTGCTCATTTCTGTGTGCTCTGTGTCTGTACTTTGTGTTGTGTGCCTTTGTTTGCCTTTGAGTCCTTGTGTGTGCATGTTGTGTTTTGTATGTGTTTCTATGTGCGTGTATCTGTCATTTTTGTGTTCACAGGTGGTAGCCCTTCAGTTTGGGAACACTACCAATATTCTTGAGGCATATTCATATGGTTCAAGTGAGGAACAAGTAAGTCTCTGGATTATGGCAAAATTGAATCCGGACATACTACTAAGTTACTTGTGAAGCATCTCTGACAAAATTTCCCCCTTGTTTAGGAACATATCATGTAGAATTTTGCACTGTTCTTCACCTCGTTTTGCAAGGCAGGTTTGTTTTCTCAGCTTTATGTCTATCTGTGATTGTATGTTGCAAGTATATGTTCATGAAATGTCATGGGATCAGGTGAAATAATGTGACCTAGTTTTGGGATTTTTTACGCTTTGTGTAGGTGTACCATATCATGCGTGTGGCATGTTTGAGAATGGACCCACCTTTCTATATACTGAATTGTCATGTCAATTAGTTTTTTTTTCCACATCTGTGTAGCACCTCTTCCTCTGTTTTTTGCTCATAGTTTTTCAGTTTGCTTGATTAGTGTTCAAGACTGTTAACATCTTAATTGGTGTGGTGATACCGTTCTGTTTATGCAGGTTCACATTTGAATTCTGGAATCTAGTAAAGAGATTACATCTGCTTTGCTTTTGGGTCTTGAATGTCTTATCAACGTCCCATATGTAGATGATACCGGGGATTTTAAGGTATGATAATATTGACATTCATGTCTTATGGTTGTCAATTTCTTATGTTATGATTATGATTTATGTGTTTTCAAAGTGTGATAAATGATAGTATACATAACTAACACATATAAAAATATAACTAAAATCTAGCTAAAAATTTATTTTGTAGGTGATTGTATTTTGTTTTAATAAAAGGCACACTAGAGAAGATATAGGCCCCAAGAAACCAACTCCTTCGTTTTTGGAAAATTAAAAAAAGAAATTGAGAAGACGACAGGTATCTTTGTTTATCTTTTGGTTCGATTTTTTTTTGAAACAATTATTACTCACATCATGTTTATGTGGCAGGAATACATACTTTTTGTCATGGTCATTTGGGATGTGTTATATCTCAGTGAAATCACAACGGGAAAAGATAACAAAGTTGTTATTGCACGTAATATCATGTAAGGGATGTTTTTGTATTGATTTGTTCGATGTTAAATGATGTTATACCTCTGTTTAATAATATGTCATTGCTTCTGTTGGCAGGTATGTTGTGGGACAATATCCTCAGTTTTTAAGAGCTCATTGGTCGTTTCTAAAAGTTGTTGTGAATAAGTTTCTTGAGCTTTTGCATGAGACTCGTCCTGGAGTTCAGGTTATGTTTTCTTCCTATGTTTTCTGTCCTATTTTTTATTATATCAACAACTTAGTTTATGTCCTTGTGCGTGTCCCTGTGTTTGTGTGCTCTGCGTGCTCATTTCTGTGTGCTCTATGTCTGTACTTTGTGTTGTGTGCCTTTGTTTGCCTTTGAGTCCTTGTGTGTGCATGTTGTGTTTTGTATGTCTTTCTATGTGCGTGTATCTGTCATTTTTGTGTTCACAGGTGGCAGCCCTTCAGTTTGGGAACACTACCAATATTCTTGAGGCATATTCATATGGTTCAAGTGAGGAACAAGTAAGTCTCTGTATTATGGAAAAATTGAATCCGGACATACTATTTAGTTACTTGTGAAGCATCTCTGACAAAATTTCCCCCTTGTTTAGAGTATCATGTAGAATTTTGCACTGTTCTTCACCTCGTTTTGCAAGGCAGGTTTGTTTTCTCGGCTTTATGTCTATCTATGATTGTATGTTGCAATTATATGTTCATGAAATGTCATGGGATCAATTGAAATAATGTGACCTAGTTTTGGGATTTTTTACGCTTTGTGTATGTGTACCATATCATTCGTGTGACATGTTTGAGAATGAACCCATATTTCTATATACTGAATTGACATGACAATTAGTTTTTTTTTCACATGTGTGTAGCACCTCTTCCTCTGTTTTTTGCTCATAATTTTTCAGTTTGCTTGATTAGTGTTCAAGTCTGTTAACA